GAAATGAACAACCGCCTAGCCCCCACAATGAAGACCATTCTCTCGCAGTCATACAGCCACATTCTCCTGGTTGGTGACTTCAATATTCATACCATAGAAACGCCAGACTGTATCAACAAACATTTCAAAATGGAAGTACAGGAGATAATCAGTGGGTTACCACTCTACAATCACATCACATCTCCCACAAGATTCAGGACGGGAAACAAACCGGGTGTTCTGGATCTTGTATTCACCAGGGAAGAGCTTATGATCGAAACGGTATCGATAGAGAGTCCTTTAGACCGTAGCGACCATTGAACCCTAATGTTCAAGTACATCTGTTATGCAGAGTATTCCTCAGAAAACACCGAGGAATGTCAGCTCATTACGGATTTCGGCGCTCTACTCAAACTTATAAATGCTAAAACTGGGTATTTCCAGCAGAACGATCCCCCGATGACGCCTGGTCTGAATTCGCTCACCAATTCAACACGTTAGTAACTAGTGCCTCTATAAAAGGACCTTCGCGAGCGAAGACAGTGAAATTATTCATACGCAGCAGGACACGCAAGTGTGTCGTCACGAGGAATTTACTCTGGCGAAGGAACAAGGAGTCATCGAGTGCCGAAACATGGGAAGCCTACGCTATCCAAAGGAATCACTGCGTAAACCTGGTACGCGAAGATAAAATACAGTACCAGCAGAATCTAGCCGAGAAATTCCTTTCAAACCCCAAGCTCCTGTACAGACACGTTAACAAGCTCCGCAAAGTGCAGCGAGGAATTCCTGCTTTACACACAGTGTGTGGACTCGCACAAAACGCAACCGAGGCGGCCAACGCCCTATGTCAACAATTCGCCCAGAACTTCCAGAGCACGACATCGCCGCATGCACTGTTCCCAATCGTTGTACCACCACCAGGACTTAGCCACATCACGTTTACGACTGCGGATGTTATGAAAAGGCTAATTGCCCTGCGCGAGCATACCTCTCCCAATGTTGATAATATTCGTCCAAAAGCGTTGCAAATGACTGCAGTAAACCTGGCAGACCCACTCTGCAAGTTCTTCCAACAATGCCTCGATGAGATGCGCGTGCCAACAATGTGGAAGCAAGGCATCGTCATTCCCATCCATAAGGGAGGAAGTCGTACAGATCCGGCCAACTATCGCCCGATAACACTATCTCCGGTGCTCTCAAAAATCATGGAAGCGATTATTGCCGAAGCGCTGATGAACTTCTTGGAAGAACGCAATATCATAGCACAAGAACAAGGGGTTTCGTAAGAACTGATCTCCGCACTTCAAACTTGCTGCTTGCCAGATCCAGTTGGACTGAGACCGTTGACAGCGGCGTAGGTGTTGACGCAGTATATCTGGATTTCTCAAAGGCTTTTGACCGTCTGAACCACCGTATCCTCCTTCACAAGCTGCAGTGTTGTGGAATTTGTGACCCAATTCTCGGTTGGATAGCTAACTTCTTACTTCAACGACATCTGAATGTAAGAGTTCGCGGCGTCATCTCTGACCCAATCGATGTTAAGTGCAGAGTGCCCCAGGGCTCAGTACTTGGTCCACGACTATTCCTGATTTACATAAACGATCTCGCGACAGTAATCAACTCCAACTCCTTACTCTTCGCTGATGATCTCAAGACATGGCGAGCCATTAGAACAACCAGCAACAATGCAGCACTTCAGGATGATCTGGACAGGGTCTACGAATGGTCGACTCAGAACCTGCTTCAGTTCAACGCTACAAAGTGCAAGGTGTTGAGCATACGCCATAAAGCCACTTGCGAATACAGACTGGGGGAGCAAATATTGCAGCGCACTACAACGGAATGCGATGTAGGATTGGTAGAGCAGGAAGATCTGGGCTGTTCCCGTCAGGCCGAGAAAGCCTCCAAAAAAGCTAACCAACACATTGGCCTTTTGCGGAAGGCGTTCCGGCTCTTCGATCCTTCGATCTTTTCTCAGATGCTCAACGCCTACATTCGGCCTCATTCTGAGTACGCCATCCACGCTTGGCAGCCATGGCAAAAGCAAGACCTTACCGCTCTTGACCTGCCACAACGAAGGGCGACTAAGAACATGAAGGGCCTGTTTCATCTCCCTTACCGATTGAGGCTGAAAACCCTCGGGGTCTACAGTGGACAATATCGACGCCTGCGTGGCGACTTGGTAATGACTTATATGATCCTGAGGAATCCAAACCATTCTTGTCGTCACCTACTAAAGCTGAATAGCAATACAACACTCAGAGGACACCAGCTAAAGCTGGCCACACAATAAAGCCGGTTGGAATGCCGCCGGAATTTCTTTTCCTTTCATGTGTGCCAACACTTGAACGCTCTTCCCACAAACGTTGTTTCTTCCCCCACGCAAACGGTATTCAAAAGACGTCTGGATGATTCGCTTATCCACCTACATTACGCTATATAATTAGAGATGTCCACGTCAAACAAACGCGAAAAAATACGGTGCTCATTCTCAGCTTTTGTACTTCACTATTCACACACTGCTGTTGTGGAATATAGTTTCGGATATATTGCAACAGCATTCATCAATTTACCCCAGTCCAAGAAAGCGGCGCACGAGCAAGCGTCGGTCGTTTCTCTTGTTCTTAAGACATGCCTTACCCATATTACTTCCCATATTACTCTACAGTAACAATTCAGTACACATTCTAAAACGTTTCTATGAATAAGGGGCACTTGAATTCACTAGACGCTTAAATTGACGATTTACACTTATGTTTACTTTCACTTCAACCATCCTATGGGACTTGTAAAGCAATCGCTTTTTTACCTGTAATATATCATTGTTCATTGTTCATTCAAATATTGCAGTAAACTCTGCGAGCCGAAAGCATTAGGAATTCGCACTGTGTAAGACAACTTCGAACGCGAAGCGAAGTTCTATGGAGTGACCCGAAAGAAACATATAAATGCATATCGAGGAACCCGGCTGCATATGCTAGCATGGAAATTGTAGGAGCTCTGAACGAATTCATGATGATCCCTGTTCGGCACAAATGCATGTAATCCGGGTGTTACAGCCCTATCCGTTCTGTCTATGAAACTGGCTTTACAGTCGCAACCGAGTTGGAATATACAGTGTGATTTAATCCAGAATGGTTAGGCTTCCTCTGTTGCAGGTACGGGGAATTACAGCTTCGGTTAATGGCAGCAATTTGTACAGCATGGTAGTTTCCCTGATTTGCACAGTTTAAACGCTTAGTTGGCTTCGTAGTGATGAACTCACTGTGTGGCAACTCGAGACAAACCTTTTTAATGGCTCACATAATCACCAAGTCCTTCTGCCCTCGCAATTGTCTGTTTTACGAAAATTTTCGAACGAATAGTTCGTCATCGGCTGAGCTGATTCGCATGGTACGACTAAGGTTTTCACAAGTGTTTGCTTTTATCGCACAGATGTGGACTCGATGGTGTGCAGGTACTGGTCTGCCAAAGTTGATTTTATGTAAATGGAGTTCTTAATGAATGCATTCACCTTAAGGCTGATAAGGTTGTACATGCATAACAGACAACCGCACTGTTCTGCTTCGCATGTGATCCGCAAGTTCGAATATGCACCGTGAAGTGCTCTACCAAGTGCAAAAGCCGCTGCTCGGAAAAAACAAAGTCCAAAATATCCACATAGGATTCGCAAAGAGACGCCTGCATTATTTCCATGGAGACACCTCATTCTTTTACTGCTTCGCCATGTGTCACTTGGGAATGCCAGACATCACTTACAGCAGGCGACCACATCATGTGTTAATGCAGTGCATCGGTAAATTTTCGTTATTCTAACGACACTTATAGCTGTAGGTCGTCGATTGCGCAACTTGCATTGTCAGGGTCATAAGTTTCTCCTCTAGCCCAACAGACAGTCGTACCGTAGTGATGGATCTAAATTACTCCAGAGAAGCCTGTATGCATTTTAATAATAAATTTTCTAGCTTCTGTTCACTGCTTTATTTTATCTCTTGCAGAAAATTTATCCAGTTTGATGGATTTGCTTCAGCTTCTCCGTGTACATTCTTTCTTACATGGTTCAACAGTCAAGTATATTCAGCAAGGTGACGAGAAATATGACAACTGGATTCGCCGTGATTATGTGCTTTGCTCATGGGTGAAAGTGGAAGACAGGAAGGAACACCATGGTATATTATGAAGTAAACTGCAGTTATTTGCACCACTCTGCTGTCCAGCGTGTGGTATACTTGCCAACAAATTGCCTAGTTTAGCTATCTAATACAAACACTAAACACCTAAAGCAATAATTTGGGCATTGCGCAAGTGGAATTCACTACACCGTTGAAGTTACTGTCGCCTCAGTAGTTGTGTGCACCAAGTAGCACTGAGTGAGGCACTTTGAGCACCAAGTGTCCATCGCTTTCTGAACAGCGTACTTCCTGCTGCACAATGCTGTACACGGCAACGCTATCCGCTTCAGTCTTATATCTATCAGCCTACAGTTCTTTGCGCACAAGAGCATTTCGGAAATGAACCATCAGTTTAAGGGTTACGAGCGATACCCCAAGGATTGGTTCTGCACACTGGTCAATCGAGCACACAGTTTCCCTCGTTCGGTTTTCACCATTCGCGTAAATCTCCTGACCAGCTTCGCGTTCTCGGCCTAATCATAGCAAAGTGAAAGCCATCGCCTCCGTTGTTAAAGGATCAATGTTTTGAACTGTAACATCCCAACCAATTCAGTGATTCTTACACACGCTTGGAAACTACGAAAAAAGGTCTAGCAATAGCAACTGATGAGCACATGTGGTTCATCATCCGTACTCGTAAGCAGGGGGTGTGAACACGTATTTGGGTGTGAGGGGCCGTTTACCGACCTGATGTCGTTGCCAACCCCCTCTGGGATGACCACAATGAAGTATGTTGATTTCTGGGGAACCCAACAAACGGATGCATCCTTAGCTAAAGTTCGCAAGTGGTCCTTTAAATACTCAGTTGCCTGATAAAAACAAGAAACAGAACTTATGTTATTTATAGGTGAAATGAAATTTAAAATTTCATTAAATTCAATAGTTTTTGTGATTACAAGTTATGGGTAGTTCAAATTGTAGCCAATTGTGTTGAATGATCACTAGTTGGTAGGCTTCGACTGTATTTTTACCACCGGACGAATAACACTTTCCCAAGGTACAGTTGCAGCCGCGACTTTTGACAGTTGGAGTAGCTTGCGAGAGAACGGTTTCAGGTTTTTTGTTATGAGTATTGGGTGTTCTGAGTGATAACCAGTGTAGAAGCACTGTGGACACAGTACAATACTGGGGCAATAAAGACAAGTAAATCTTTCCCCCGTCCAGTCTTCACGTGCACATAGATTGCAAGGAACGGTTAACCATGGATCGCTCACAGCTGCGACCGTACCCTCGTTGCTTGTCACCAAAATGTCAGGTAGTTCGCTTGCTGTACAGTAACCAAAGAAGTAATTCAGCGGCTTGACATTCATTCTCGGACAGGGAACAACGTAGATGCGGATGCACCTCTCCCCTGGCTGTTTTTTGAAAGCACCGGCAACGTCTTCATCAGATTGCAGCTCCACGAACCCTTCCGTTGCTGTAAATAGAGTAAATCCGTAAAAAAGCCACTTAAAGCATGTTTTTCTCACCGTCTAAACAGCCAGCATTTCACCCGACCATTAAGTTAACATGTAGCAAGTGTTTTTGTTCGTCGCAATCAGCAGACAATTCAGATATGTCGACCAGCTATCCGGAAAAGCACCAGACGGCCGTGTCGCCCTATTGGGGCTCATCAGTGGTGCGCATCCTCATAAGTAATACCAATTCGCCCGTACGGATTCCACAAAATGCTATGTCGATTCATAGTTGCCGTAACCGGGAAGTCCTGACGCCGGAAGGCCGACCGCTGTCATCTGCATGGCAAGTGCCTGCACGGCAGTGGAGGATGCGTCGGGCTATATCGCATTTAGCTAACAATTCATGATAGTCAGATACCGTCCTCCATGGCGCAGTTGCATAAGCTGCGGGCTAGTTGGCAAGAGCCACTAGCAGTCATGGGTTCGATCCTCCGCAGAGGACCGAAGGATGCGCACCATTGATGAGCCCCAATAGGGCGAAACGGTCGTCTGGTGCTTTTCCGGAGAGCTGGTCGACATATCTGAATTGGCGGCTGATTGCGACGAACAAAAATACTCACCAAATCCTTCCATTCATAAGTAATGTAGCAAGTGATTAGTTTGCGTTGGAAAGATGTCTAAATTTAACTAGTAGGCTATAAGCGACACAACAAAGTAGAATGGATTCTGCCATTCATTAAAAGGCGAAACAGTGACATCCCACTGACAAGTGTCTGTCTACCAAATCCGCTTTATAGAACAGGACGCGGCCGCGTTTTCGCAAAATGATAAAAGATATTAGCATCCCAAACAATGAACAATAATTTATATCGGCTAAATGGAAAATGCTTAACAGGCAACTTAGGAAGACCACAGTGAGCATGACAAAATCAAGAGTGGCAAGAAAAGAGAAAGAAAATTCGGATTTTGCGTGACTCTCTAAGTCATCCATACGAAAACCGATAAATGCTCTTCCTCCTGCTGCGTATCAGAAAAGGCTAGTGAGTGCACCGGTTGGCGCCATTTTGTCTTCTGACTGAAACGTTCTCTATCACTTAATGTAAGTGGGATAGTATGTCATGAAATCATTTTTGTACAGCGCTGATGTTTGGAAATAAAGAAGCGTCATGAGAGAGCGTTCAATGCCCAGGAATAAATTTCGTCGGCAATGAAGTCAACTGTACTGCAAAATCAATTTGAGCTGTTGAATATTGTCTGAGCTGAAACAAACGGCTGCTGGTGTGGCTGAGGTTTACCATTGTTATGCACGCTATAATGTGATTGCCTCGTAGTAGCCGATACTCCCTGTCGTGTAATCTATGGCCTTCCATCCTGTGTTGATAAGGCAGGTGCAACAAGCCCCTTATGTTTTTGATCGTCCTCCTCTGTAAAGCTTCAGACTTATTAACATCATGTATCCTCAAGGAAATCAACTAAAAGGCCACATTTTTACCCAGTATATTCACCGGTTCCCAACTGATACTTTATCAATACTCTCATAGCCCCGGTTCCGTAGCAACTGAGACATTCGTTACCCAAGCGACTGCCATTTATCGTATGTCCATCAGGCAAGTTTGATTCTTGGTCATGCTAGTGGGTACGGATTCACACTTATTAATATAAGCGAATACCAGACTTTCACCAACGTATGTACCACAATTCTGTTCTCATGTATGGTTCTGCTAGCATGACACTGAAGGTGCAAATGCTCTAAACAAACGCCAGAATCTGTGGATAAAGTGAGTGAACATGTGGGTTTCCGAACTGCTAACAAACGGATCAACCCACCGTCTGTTCCAGTAGATACGTATGCATGTGACCGTCTGGCTGTGATATAGTTGTGCAACTGAGCCTTCTCATTAGTAGTAAACGACTTCCGAAATCGAAAAATAGTTAACGCTTGTGTCCAGCATAGAATTGCGTCTTCATTAGACAAAATGGGTGAGTCGGTACACGCACCTTTTGTAAACCACTGCTCTCCGTCAACAAATGACAGAAAGGAAGAGTTGTACTGTCTATTTATTGGGTAACCTAGGTACAAACATTAATATTTAGCGGGCGTCTATTCCTTGCTCTGTCTGTGACTGTGTCAAAGGTGGATGGCCCTCGCTCCTGACTAACGGTGTTTTTGAATGTGCAACCGATAGCTCCACCCACTGCCCCATCATCAACTGTGTACGGGATGTAATAGGCTAAGAATTATGTGTGTGTGGACGTGAGTTGTTTCGGAGCCGGCCAACAGTTCGTTAACACACATGTCACCCACGGCTAGGGGACTAGTAGTCGTAGTAGCAGTACTGGCAACAGTCTAACGCAAAGACATAGGCAAAACAAAACCATGGAAATCATAAGAAGAATACAGGTTTAATCACCACCTCGTCATCATGACGCATTGGCTGAAGGTGAGCAACACACTTCAGCTATTGTACTGTAAGAAGTACGAACTTGTTTTCCTTATTTTTTCACACGCCAATTTTCTTTCCTTCGTCGTTTTCAATGAAGCGTTAGACATCTGAATCTAGACAAGTATGTACGTAAATCTTTTACTGATTTAGACTACGCGCCATATCTCGTCATGTTTCTAGCCATCGGCACTCTTCATCCTCTGGTCCCCAACTAGGCAGGCGTGTTGCTTCAACGGTATCAAGACGTGAAGTTGACGATTTCATATGATTACATCAAGTGCACGGCTGACCACCACGTCGTCGCTTCCAGTCAAGCCCTGCGCGAACGAAAAGGGCGCAGTAGGGCAAACGCTCAGATGACATACATAAAACACGACCTAGCTGATGCAGCAAAAGCTGATTGTTGCGGGACATACTCGCATCCCTTAAGACAAGAAGGTTGGAATTCACCATGGGAAATATGTTGCTGCTACTACACGCCAACAACCCTCCTCAAGCACCCATTGTCGAAAGCCGAGAGCCGGCATACGTCATCCAAGCGAACTGGCCACGAGTCTCTACCATACAGCAATACCACCCGAATGGTGGCACTGTGCACACGACTCTTTACCAATAGGCAGACATCCCGACGATGCCAAAAGAGCTTCAGGTTGACGAATGCTAACCGAGGTTTGGCGATGCGGAGAGAAACTTCCTTCCCTATAGAGGCACCAGCAGACACGTAGGTGTCAAGGTAGAAAAAGCAGTCCATTTGTTCAAGCTGTGTACCATCAGGAGTGAGCACGGGAACGGGTGAGTGTCGATCCTGGAGCGGCACTTTACACTTCTATGGAGCGGAGCATAGATCGATCTTGTATGCCTCAATCGCCAAACGGTTTAAAACGGTTTTCATGCTCTGTGAGTCGTCACAAAGTAATGCGATGTCATCGGCACCATCTGAGTCAGTTGCTCGTTTGCCTTGCGGTAGTTTCAGTTCAAAAGTTTGATAACTTTCCAAAGCTCCCGACAGGACGTCTTCAACCGCAACTTTGAAGAGAAAAGAGGACAAAGAGCAGTCCCGTCGTACACTACTGTTGACAGCAAATGACGAAGAAAGGTTGCCATCGGCTCTCACTCTGCCGGAGATGTGAATAGAATGGTTGTGTATTTTTCTGGGACCCCGTTGGTTAGTAAGCAAAGCCACAGCGCAGGTCGATCTACCGAAATAAATGCAGCACGGATGTCTAAGAATGCAAATATGGTAGGCCTTTGGTAGAGGTGGCGGTACTTGAGAATTTAACGGAGCGTTAATATTCGATCCACGCACCCATGGCAAGAACGGAAGCCAGCTTGTTCTTCCCGGTACTACGATTCACGAAAGGGGGAAGCCTATGGAGTAAAATGGACGCGAAAAGCTTGGAAGCGACCGAGACGAGACCGATACCCCGGTGAATGGTGCATGAATTGTGAGCAGCGTTTTTAAAGATCAGGGCAATACTTGACTCTCCCCGGGAAGAAGGCACCTTTTATTCATTCCAAACTCTGGAGAACAATGAGGTCAACTAGCTGATGATAAGTGCCTCTCCATACTTGAACACCTTCGGAGGAAGTCCGTCTGAGCCGGCAGCCTTAAATCGTCTTAGATGTCGAATCTCAAGACAAACTTCCGCTTCACTGGGCGCATCAATTGTGATGACCGAGGGTGAGCGGTAGGACATACAAATGGACGCTGAGGGCCAATTGAACTGGGTATGCAAATGTTCGGCCCATCGATCCAAGCGTCTCTGTAGGTTGACCATCGCAGAACCGTCCGCTTCGGAAATAGTCTTACTGATACCAAGCTTCTTGTGACCAGTGGATCGAATGAGCTGTGAAAGCTTACCAGTGTTGCCAGATAGGGTGGCGGCCTCCATTTCGGAAGCGCACTGAGACCGCCAGGCATCATGATAACTCCGTAGGCTTCGTTTGGGCTGCCAAATGACAGAACGACGCACTACATTATGGGTGGATTGCGCAGGGATATTCCTACGGCGATCGACAATGAAACAATGGTTTTATACGGGTTAAAAGTTGTACCTTAATAGGTCCCGCAGGATGATCATGATGAAATTTCAAAATATAGGAAAAATGGTCAGCAATTTAAAGTTCACGCCAGTTGACTCACCGCGGTATGCTTAAGTATAAATCTACTGTAAGTCAAGTCATGTCTAATAACACACAGGTGTATCCACTTACACACCCATATATACCCGTTTAGACCGATTTCGTGAGGACTGGAGATCACAGTATTTGTCTGCGTCCTGTTATCACTAAGTGAATAGAAATCTGATCAGGTAACGCAGGTGTTGTAATGCATCGTCGAGTCGTTTTCTAAAAACAGGTAGCGTGGGAGCAGCAATGACAAAGATCGAAAGAGCGTTTCAGCGGTGCCAACTTCGAAGAGTAAAATAGTTCAGGCGGCATTCCAGCCTACTGTATTGTGTAGCCAGTTTCAGCTGGTGACCCCACAATTTTGTGTTGCGGCTTAATTTCATGAGTTAGCGGCAAGCGTGATCAGGGTTTTTAAGATCTGGAACAAGAGAATCAGTTCGCTATGT